TTTTGTTTATTCAGTTTAATGTCTCATCGAAATTCAACTGGGTTGCCGTGAGTTGTCCGTCCATTTAAGACTGCATGATTTGAAGACTACAAAAAGCAAAGAAATTGGTTTCCTGTGGTTTATATTTCCCCTCCTGCCGGCGCAGATCTTGATAAGTACCTGGACTCTTATATATAATTATTTTTTGTCTATAGTGTAAGTTTATTAGTAGAGCTAAGCTCGTGCAAACATTTACACTGGAGTGTAAACGAAATGTGATGGAATAATAATTAAGCAATATGCGTCAAATTTGACGAATACCAACGTTCTTTTGTGTTATTCCCCGATTCTCTTAGTCTAATCTTCGGTTCACGCGTTAAAAGAGACCCGGATTTTGGAACTTTACCTATTTTTGAAGTCGGCCTTTTTCGTGGTTATTGTAAACACAGCATAGCAACTTTATCAGGGTTTAGACAGTCTTCTTGAAATTGATCGAGACTGTTTCAAAACAACTTTTGCGCTAAACTAAATTTTCGATTGAAATATATCGGGACTTCTGCCACGAAGGATCTTTTACCGGATTACAAAATGACAAAGCTAGGTCATTATTTTTTTTCAGTATTTTGAGTAAACACTCAGGAAATGGGGCTGAGAGCGCTTGTGTCAGCTGGTCGATCAGTGGTTCAGCCGCCAAAGCAAATTAGTACAACACCACACCGCGTGTGAGCAACAATGGTGACTCAAAGGAACACTGATGACAATCACCGATGACCATCTCGCGAAGAGCGGCCGGCGGAAGCTCGATTGTCATTTGGCAGAACTAACTCAAGCCTGAGAAAGATTTAGTGAGCGGGTGCTTAACCAAAGCGAAGAAAAAGAAACTGGATGTTATGGAAATCATAGGCAATGATACGCTTTACAAAATTGCAAATTATTAAGAATAATAAACTCGTACTCTGCCGTCATAAAACGTCAAAACTACAGCAAAATTTTGCATTTCTGTTTTTGTTTGTTCAATTCAATGTCTTATCGTAACTGAACTGAGTTACCGTTGTGAGCAGTCCCTCCACGTACACGTGAAGACTACAAAAATCAACGAAGATTGATGTTTTTCCGTGGTTTCCTTGAGAACGTTTGCTGGCGTGGACCAGATTTAGTACATGATAGCACTATCACCTTTCATGTCTTTTATTCCTTTTCTAGTGTAACTTTATTAGTTGAGCTAAGCGTGTGGAAACCGTCCCCGCCCCCGCCCCCCTTATTTTGGGTGAAAAAAAGAAGAAATCACAGAAGAAAGAAAAGCCGGCAGGCCCACTTAGCTCGAGGTCTGGATCCGCCACTGACTTACACTGGAGTGTAAATGAGCTGTTACAGAATTTCAGTTAAGCATACGACAAATATAGAACGAATGCTGACCTTGCTTTATGACCTTTTGTATTATATGTTGTCTCTCTTACACCCGCTTTCAGTGTTACGTGCATAGGCGACATCTTTTGACCATCTTTCGACATACCATCTTTCGACATGCTATGTAAACGGCTGAAAACCCGTTTAACTGTGAAACTGGCAATTTTTCCGGTGGTTAGCAGAATAAATGTCAAATAAATGATAATTACTGACCTTAAATGAATGAAGAAGATTGTGGACTTTGCATGTTTCCCGATTTACGGGATATTTTAGTGTAGTCGATCGGCTCTCTATGGTGACTTCCGGTTGAATTGGGCCGCTACCGCTTATTTAATACGGGGCTTAAGTAACGCCAACGGCGACGCCAAAGACGACGCCTAGTAAAAATTGAATTTATATTTTACCAGAGAAGTTCGCTATTGTCTAGATCTGTTTGGTGCGCCAATGGCTCTAAACACATGGTTAAGGTAAATATGCAACGACAACGTTCAGTTCCAAATGGAAATGCGGCAAATTACTCGTCGTCGTCCACGTTCCGTAGACGACGCAGAACTTGGTCATTTCACGTTGTTTTTTTTGCAGAGGACGGCAAAGAAATGTGCAAAGATTTATAACGCACGTGCACATCCATTGTTTTCCTCATTAAACCTTTTGTTTGGTGACGTTCTCGTTGCCGTCGTCGTCGTCATGGTTTGCTTAAGCTCCCTAATACTCAAAAGATATAAACATTTACAACAGTCGATTTATCTCTTACAGAATGACTTCTTGATACTCATAGCCTTAATTTGATGTCAAATAAATCCATCTTTCATGACTAAAAGTCGAGTTCAGCCGTGGAGAAGTCAGTTGTGCTTACATTTTTGATGTAGGCCAGGTTGCATAGCAGGTCGAAAGACACTGAAAGCGGATGCAATCTCCAAGTTTCGTTAAAAAGACTACCTTTATATTTTTTGTGTCGCCTTTTTACTTTAAAGATCAATACACAGTCACGTCTCAAACAGTCGAGAAAGCATATATGACCTAAGGGAATCTGAGAACAAACTCAATGTTCCATTACCGCGCACAAACTATTACAAAAATAGCTGTAGCTATAGTGGCGCCATTCTTTGGAACAACCTTCCTTGCGGCTTAAGGTAAGCAGAGTCCTTGAGACAATTTAAACGCCTACTCAAAGGAGAACAGTAAGGCACAGCATTCATGGAAAACAGCTTTTCATTTACAGTCGAACCTCTATTAGGCGGCCAGCCTTTATTTGGCGGCAAGCGGCCAAAGTCCCAGAAAAATTGTGAGCTATAGACTGTAATAAAAACCTCTGTTCAACGGCCACCTCTATTAAGCGGCTGCGGCCAGCTTCTTGCCGTCCCAAGAGTGATTTTGTTTCCTTTTATTCCTCTATTAAACAGCCAGGAAGATTTCAAGTTGGACGTTTTTAGCCAGATATAGGTAAAAGAATGATAATAAGGAAACGTAAATGTTTCTTCAGTTTGGCTTTTGTTAACTTATGGACCGTATTATAACCATCATTGTTCTACTTTTTCGCCACTTACATTTGTTTGTACTTGTATTTGATAAACTGAAAACTGGACCACGCCCAAAGTTGTTTTCGGGTGAACCTCTATTAAACGGCCACCGCTATTAAGTGGCCAGTTGTCTCGTCCCCGAGAGTGGCCGCTTAATAGAGGTTCGACTGTACTTATTTTCATTATATTAGGTATTAGGCATTGTGTATTTTGTATTCAGTATTTTTAGCTGACAAATTTTTACCTTGGTTAAATAAATGTTATCTATCTTCAAAGGTCCTGACCCCAAAAATTGTTCAATTCGTTTTCTTTCTGAAATTGGAATACAGTTTGATAAACTAATGTAATTTGCATTTTCCCCGAAATATAGACTTTATCACGGTTTTAAAACGATCTCGACGTGTGGTCAAGGGCATCAGAAAATATAGCGTTTGTATGGGATTCCAAGGGCAAACAATTTTCTTAAAGAATGAGTTGTGAACTACTTATGAATAGCAAAGTAAAAATACTAGACAAGAGATTGCATGCAGCAAATTTCAGAGATTTAGCTGTGCTAGAGAGTGACTAGTCGTTTTTTTAAATTCCCGTACATTTGTCTACGACTTTTTTTCCGCGAAGTAGTACGCGACTTACAAGTGGACGCAGGATTTTATAAGGAATGATCACAAATTGACGTGCAAACTTTGAACTTCTTGATATATGGTTTGAAAAATTGCGGACAATAATCATGAAAGCTTTATGTATATTTTGCATAGCAGCGAAGATGTCAGCTAAGTACAGAAAGAGTTTTGCAGTTGTCACTGAGAGTGAGATTTTTCCCCCTACCATGTAAATTCACAAAGTCATCTCCTTTCCAACATAAGAAGAGTTGTGAAAGTTTCACAAATTTTGCGCGCTGCATCTAAGGTCACGCGCCTTCATGAATATGTTTTATTGGTCGGAAAAACGGTAAAGATTTTTACTATTTTAGTCTGAAATAGCTAAGGTATGTCTTTACGGGCTGGCCTGGAATTGGGTATGTTGTTTATCATGAAACTATTCTTCATATTTATTCAGTAAAACCGGGGAATTTGAAGCCCTTCTCAAATGTTAGCCCGGGCTTTGGCAGCTATGGTCATCGTTTAGAGACGTGATCGTTTTCGAGGTGTGAAGTAAGACCGGGAGGGCTTGATTTGTGGCTCAGGTTTAGTATCGAAAATCAAATATTTTGGAGAAATGTCACGTATTGAAACAAAGTACTCAAGGGTAGCTTAATCCAGGAGTTAGGAGCAAAAAAAGGTAAGGAAAACATAGGAGAGAGGCACGATACTCCTTCCCTACTTACCCCTCTAATCGCTTTTCCAAGAGTTTCCAACTGACTGAATGCATGAAACAGGTTAACACGACAGCAAAAGCCGTGAATCGAACTAATTCGGTCATCTATTATGCCCACACTGCGTAATATATAATCGTCTAGTTGGGCCGCTATTCCTTCAGGTGAATCTCAAGTACGGGGCGATAAAAATGTTCCAAATGTAATCATACTCGTGATAAACAAATCGGACTCCCGCTGCGCGGTCGTCCGATTTTGTTATCACTCTTATGATAACCAACCGAATTGGACTCCACTCAGTCCTATTACCATTACTTATCAATATGCAGATTAAGAAAATATGAAATTGTTTCCAAACACGCCGTAGTTTTCAACTTGTTTTTCATTGGGTTTTTAACCCATCCACCTGACCAGAATAAGGCGTTGGGTAAGAGCTGCATGAATAATAAATGAGTTTGAGAAGTTACAAGGAAATGACAACTGCTCTTGATTTTGGAAAGCTCTTTATTCTATACTCTACGAACTTGAAGATATCACAAACAAAACCCCTACAACTACTCCATGTGCTTGAAGTTGCTTTACCGTCTCCCGTTTCTTCGGCGCCTGACTGAGCTTTTCTCAGTTCCTCAGATGCCCTGAAAAATGATATTACACCTGCATTACTGACTGACAACACACTAATTAACTTTCTAATCGTTCTAACTACATTCCCTCCTCTAGCTATATAAGATTCACATTTTATTGGAAACTAAATGAGCAACTTGTTTACGCCCACTTCTCAAATTACAGACAAACATTTTTTGATCTGGCAGATACAATCTGAACTAGGTAAGAGCATTACTCAGTTTCGATATTTCATTTTTCTGAAACTCTCCACGAGAATCTTCCCGCTCTACGGACCAAGCAGGTCAATCGATGAAGAAAACCACTTCGTGTAAGAAGGCGACAGAGTTACTCGGCTGGACCTCCTCGCTCATTGGCCAGATAATTATTTTTCTGGCCAATCAGAGGGACGGAGTTCGACCACGTTTGGAACTGGTTCGGTAAGAATAAGTCCCCAGGGGCTCTTCAGCTCTTGAAGTAAACTTTCGTCCGAAAATATCGCTCGCCCAAAAATATCGCTTCATCCCGGCTAGTAGCTCCTGGGTCTCCGAGGATGAGTTTTTACCGTAGTTAAACCATGACACCGGTGAACAGAACGTAACGAATTCCACAACTGTAGAGGACACATAATTGTTTCCTTCAGTTGTTGTGTGATGCCAGTAACGAATTAAATAAAAGTTCTCATGAGCGTGGAGTTTTTTCCATTCAGCTTTGCTATTTACTTACTGATCCCTGTTGATTCGTTAACTGACCTCTCTTTTGCTCGTTTCACAAGGTATAAGCATTGGGGATATTCCATCACTCCAAAACATGGTCCCCTCCCCCCTCCCCTCTCCGCGTGTATTCTGTTAATCCGGTTATAAAATCCTTCACCATATATCACAACTTAACGGCATCAATTTGGGAGAAATTCCGGGATATAATACACGTGATCTAACGGTATTTTTATTTCAGCCCTCTCTCACCTTGATCGGACAGCCGTACAGCTCAGCACGCATGCTGATATGGCTGTGCCATGTCAACGGATGGATTCGGAAAAACGGGCATGGAATGGCGGGAAGATCTTGTGAACAACAATGGAGTCCCGATCAAAGTTGCCGCGAAAAACCTGAAATGAAAAATTAAATTAATACAAGGATTAAATTTAAATTACTTCATTGTTTGTTCACTAACTTTGCTGAGAGGAGATTGCTATTAAACTCAGGATTTATGCGATAGAGATGACGTCATTTTCATAAGTAACAGAGTTTGACAATAGCGTGACACACGTGTGTCGCGTTGTGTTCTTCACTAGTAACAGCTGGAAAGAAAGCCTTTGACCCAGGTAAATAACTCAGGTATCTGCCTCGCTATAACATGCTCAACTTCATCCAGGGTTATCTCAGGGTTAGTTGTGGTTGAGACAGTAAGAAAAATATTGAATTTACGATAAAGATAGTACATGACGTTTCGGCGTCATCTTGTCGCCATCAGGGAGCTTAAGCAAACCAAGGCGAAGACGGCAACAAGAACGTCACAAACATGACAAAACAAAAAGTTTAATGAGCAAAATGTTGACTATTTTCCTCTAAATGGAAGTGCAAAATAGCCTGATGAGAAAAAAAGGTAAAGTGGACGAGTAAACTTTAATTGGTAGATTCAAGTTCAGGTCAGCTCATCGCCGTTACCAAGCAAAGTACAAACCAGTTACATTAAACGAATTAGACTTTTCCTGTTCGCCATAAAATAAAAAACCGTATTAACCGAGCTTACTCGGTCTGTATGTCGGAATCTTGACTGAGGTCGTGAGTCCAGACCAAACGCTGTGAGGTTTGCACGCACGCCATTGACCTCTTACAAACCGATCGAGCGTGAGGGCCGTGCTGGAGAATATTTACCCGTTTCTATGGAAGCGGTCTGTATGGAAAACTCCCGACTAAGAAAGAACTAATCAAAACGCTCGGATTTACCTAAAGACTACCTTACCATATCATATACTGTTTTATTGATATTTGTAGGAAATGAATAAGAGATGATGCAGCTCATTTTTTGAGCTATTATTTAGCTGGCTCATATTCGTATCTCTGAATTCGAAGATGCTGTGTTTTTAAAGCCATCCTTAAACGCGTGTGAATCAAAGTAGTGGTAGACGAACCGTTGTGTAGATCGATAAAGGGGCGCATAAAATTAGAATCATCATTGCGTGTTCTACATTCTACCATGAGGAGACCCCAAGAGAGGTTGAGAGCGAAACAGAGTTGATGCCTGAATCATAACGAAGTCAACATTGTGATTACCTTCTTTCTACCTCGCACGGTGTACTGAACCCAGAAAGAACCTGCATGGCTGTAAGACAATGAATAACTAGTTATCCATTGAGAATCATCTTGTCTTCCTTGGGTTGCTACTTTGGTAACGGTTGTGGGAGTTCCAAGATCAATCTGCAGCCATTGGTTGACGTTATTCGTTTTGACACACCAGGATCCTACCCTACCTGAAGCAGCTGCCAAGTTTAAACGGGCGAACGTGGCGGCACAAACAGCGCTGTAAATAGTTGAAGCAGTCAGGGCACTATTTGGAATTCGGCCATCTTCAATTCCGAGTGACATGGAGCACTGATAGCCTAAAGGTAAAACGATATTAATTCATAAGTGAAATAAAGAGTGAAACAAAAGTCGCTTAAAGTTTTGCTAGTAACACTGTGCGTAAAATGTAAGAATTTTAAAATTTGACTGACGATCACTCGGCATTTCAATGCACAACCATAGATTTTAGATGTGGGTAAAGACCATTTTGGATAAGCAGATTCCTTCCAATAACTAGCCCCTCTGAATGGGTCATTCTCGATACAGGGGCGGATCCAGAAAATTCAGA